TAGATATAAAACTTTGAATCAATTTGACTGTATGATCTGGTCTGACTGTAAAGTCCCTTAAGATGAAGTGTTGTGAATTGGCGCTATATAAATAAACTAAATTGAATTGAATTGATCAGTTCAGTCCAGTTGACCCTGCAAGTGTTATGGACAGCGCTTTGAGCGTGTGGAGGGTGGGTGTGTGTGTATGTGGGTGTGTCTGTCTTAATAGCCACCAACCCACGACCGAATTCCGTCACAGTGCTGGGCTGGATGGCAGGGCAAAAAACTCACTGAAGTCAGCTCCTCGCAGAATAGCTGAAAGCTACGCTCCAGAATGTACGAGAGGCGGCGGCAAGGCTACCATTTATAGCTTTACATCCTTCCTGATGTCGCCGGGTAGTCCTTCAGGATATCGCTGGCTTCTATTCCTTTCCAGTAGGATAGCATACAGTAGCCTACCCCACCGGACCGTTACTCAGTCGCAGTAATAAAATAAACGCCCGTTGACCAAATCGATATTAAACGTCACAACTATACTCCAGGTCTACCGACTCGAAACATTAGCTCGTTCAATCAGCAATATTGGCTTGAAACTTGACTCCTGCCGGCCAACTCCTCCTACACATCCCTTGATAGCCCGTCCTCCTCCTGCGTCTCACAGACTGCTTGCTCCCCTCCGCGCGTTCACGAGAGCCCCTTGTCCTTGCACAGGAGCTCTTTTTGCACCCACTACATGTATATACACTCACCAGCCACTTTATTAGGTACACCTGTCCAACTGCTCGTTAACACTTAATTTCTAAGCAGCCAATTACATGGCGGCAACTCAGTGCATTTAGGCATGTAGACATGGTCAAGACAATCTCCTGCAGTTCAAAGCGAGCATCAGTATGGGGAAGAAAGGTGATTTGAGTGTATTTGAACGTGGCATGATTGTTGGTTCCAGAAGGGGTGGTCTGAGTATTTCAGAAGCTGCTGATCTACTGGGATTTTCACGCACAACCATCTCTAGGGTTTACAGAGAATGGTCCGAAAAAGAAAAAACATCCAGTGAGCGGCAGTTCTGTGGGCGGAAATGCCTTGTTGATGCCAGAGGTCAGAGGAGAATGGCCAGACTGGTTCGAGCTGATAGAAGGGCAACAGTGACTCAAATAACCACCCGTTACAACCAAGGTGGGCAGAAGAGCATCCTGAACACACAGTACGTCGAACTTTGAGGCAGATGGGCTACAGCAGAAGACCACACCGGGTGCCACTCCTTTCAGCTAAGAACAGGAAACTGAGGCTACAATTTGCACAAGCTCATCGAAATTGGACAATAAAAGATTGGAAAAACGTTGCCTGGTCTGATGAGTCTCGATTTCTGCTGCGACATTCGGATGGTAGGGTCAGAATTTGGCATCTACAACATGAAAGCATGGATCCATCCTGCCTTGTATCAACAGTTCAGGCTGGTGGTGGTGGTGTCATGGTGTGGGGAATATTTTCTTGGCACTCTTTGGGCCCCTTGGTACCAATTGAGCATCGTTGCAACGCCACAGCCTACCTGAGTATTGTTGCTGACCATGTCCATCTCTTTATGACCACAATGTACCCAACTTCTGATGGCTACTTTCAGCAGGATAATGCTCCCGAGTCTTGACTGAATACTGAGGCTGTTTAAATGCCTGAACCACTTCCCAAAAAGGTGGCATTGTACAGCAGAGTAGCAAGACTTTGGACGTCATTTATGTCTGCTCCTACCCAAAATGAAGCAAGCCTCAATACGCACTTCGCTGATATGCCCCCTCCACTACTCAACACACACCACAAAGCCTCGGCTCACCTCAACATCATTACCTATGAGCAGAAGCGGATTTAGGAAATTCAGGGCCTTAGGCATAGACAGACATGGGACCCTCTGAATTGAAAAGACAACATATAAAACAGACCCCATTATGTAGATACAGAAATTTTAATAGAATAGACAAACATTTACTGAATTTTGACTTCCCTTAATGATGCTTGGAAGATATCGGAAATCATATGTCTACAGAAAATAAGACTTCAAAATATCTTTAATCACATTTTGGAGAGTCAAAATGTCATGATTTAACTAAAGGTCAGACCCAAATGCAGAAGACCAAGCAGAGAAACCAGGGAAAAAGTTTAACAGGTTTATTGGAGATGTGAAGAATCCAGTGTTGCTCTGAACACTGCTCAACCAGAACTGAAAGGTGAGGGGAAGACACAGCGGTTAGTTCAGGCTCTGTGGGAAATTTGATTCTCGAACTTGAAGAGGAGAAATAGATTAATAACTCATGTTTCCAGAGAAGTTGTTGACTCTTTGATTCCAGTCTTTGTGCGATAGTTCCAGTGTTTTTCCGATTCGGTGGAGGGTGGACAGAGTTAACCCAGAATGCGGTTGTCTGTAGGTGAACGGAGAAGCTTACTGCTACTCAAATTTCCTGCAGTACTTGAACGGGTCGTAGTGGAGATGAATCCCTTTCTCAGTGTGAAGCTCAAATGATCTTCTTGAGGGAAAGTGGGTTCAAACCTCCAGTTTGAATCCTCAACTCAGTTTGAAGCTCAGATGTTCCTTCCAGGGAGAGAAGGTCCAAAAAACCAAGTTTGCAGGATGACTTCCTGCCGAGAGGCAAAGATAAAAACAAGATTAAAACTCAGGTTGACAAGAACTCAGTTTGACTCAGCAAAACTCAGCTCGGCTAGAGTACCCAAAACTGGCAAACACTCTGGCGTTGAGGTAGTGGCAGTCAGCAACTTGAGAGAGCTCCGAGTAACGAGGTAACTCACAGCAGGTGTGTAGGGAGGCGGACCAGAACCAGGCGCCTCCTGGTGGAGGAAGGGAGACAAACACAGAAAACAAACACACAGACAGAAATCCTGACACAAAATGCCTTTTGAGATATCTCAAATGATGTCACATGATTTGTCATTTAAAGAGTGTATGAAATAGCCCCCTTGTGTGTCACTGAGCTGTCCTAACAGTTGCCTGCAGAATTTTGCGTGGCTGCAATGACGCTGGCTCTGCTTGACAAAGTTGTCTGAAAATGCCACAATACTGAAAGAACTCAGCAGTATGGGATGTGCAGACAACAAGAACTTTGTGAATTCTAAGACGGTTTCAGAAATCTGTCATGAATTGAAGTTAGAAGTTAGTTAGAAGCTACATATTCAAGCTCGGCTGAGTTACCTGCACTTATCTCACAATCGATCCGATTAATGAGCTCAGACTTCAGCAAGCCACTCTATGTCACCCTTTTTCTTACCGGCGGTGGTTCTTTTAGGGACCATCAACAAATTTCTGAACTAGGCACTCTTGAGGAATAAAAATGAATTACTCCCTTGTCTTATGACCAACTAAAAGGCACATCCATTTTAATTTAATTATACATTTGTTTCATATTTTTAAATACTTTTTTTGTCAAAAATTCAAATTTTTCTTCAATAGTTTCTCTTCTCTGCTCCTCTCGCCTCTTCCCCAACAAGAAAGGCCACTATTGGTTGTCCTATAAGGCGCTCTATGATGTCATCACCCAATCTGCATATTTCATATCATCCAGCTGTAAGAGATTCAGATTTTTTTGTCTGTCAAAGCAGTGCAGAAAGACTTTTATAGAAAGAAGCAAGTATATAAAATACATATACTGTAATTCAGCCATTATTTCCACACTCCGTACAAGTTAGTGTCAGTAATTCACCATTAGTTGTTTGGCAACCAATGCAGTAAAACTCATGAAGAAGAACAAAGTGGTGCAGAGACAGGAGGAGCAAAAAGGGGGAGAAATTTTAAAAAGCACCAGTTCATTTTTATAAAAATGGGTTTATAAATTGTTTTGTAACCTTGAGTGAGATTACTAAGAGCTTTAAATCTGTGCATTTCGTCTGCAATCTGAAATCGAAGTTTAAAGTTTCTTTCTCTCATCTGCAGTGCAGTGTGCAGGCAGCCTGCCCTGCATCAATCATGACAGCAGCCAAGATAGAGTCAAGAGAGTCAGTGCTTTTAGATGTTGTCTCCAAAGTCTCCAGTAGCATAAAAAAGCTGCCTAGATTTGGCTCTAGGCGCTTTTTTTAAATCAAAGTGCTAGAGGGGTCTGAAAAGTCGCAAAATATAGCCACTAAAGAGCTAAGTTAGCAACACTGCTCTTTGCATCGTTTGTTTTCAAATGGTTTGCTACTGTCTGTTTGGACTTTTCTGAAGATGTGCAGCAAATGGACTGATCCAATATGGTGGACACTGAAGAGGGGGCTTAATATAATAAGTGTTCTGATGGCATTTTAATGAAAGGATCTTTATCAAAAACATAATAAATGTGCACAAATAAGTAAAAGCTGTATTAACCATACCGGTTACAAGGTTAAGAGAAAAGAATGGGAAGATGCCTAGCAGCCGTAACATTCAAAAGGGAGCCCTCACACACCCTATATAGACACCTTTAAAAGGATCAATTTAAAATTATTGGACAACCTGAATCACCATCAAACATATCTCAAAAGTTGTTGTTTAAAATAAAACCTCAACAATCACTCTTACAATAGATGATAATTATGAAAATTAAATGTTTTCAAACCGAGACATAGAACTGAAAGTAAAAAAGTGACTTTCTTTTACGATTCAGAGTCCACTCCCTGATACTGTTGGCAAGCAGATCTGCAAAATCTTGAACCACATTACTTTCACTTTCCTTGTTGTATAATTTAGGAGAAATCACGTTATCTGCAGACTGGAATTATTACACCTTACACCCAGTCTAAAATGGGCAAAATTATTTAGTGAGACCCAGATGAGTTGTGTTTTCTTTTTTTCATTCTTTAACTTTTTTTATTATTATTGACAAATTTTCTGGCTTTGCTAAAAATCATATAGGGTCTTGAGAAGATCTTTTAAAAATAAATTGCATGTAGTGGAAAAAAAGGTATTAAACTATGCAGTCCAGTTTAAAAAAAAGATATTGATGGATTTCACTCAGCCAGCACTTTATTTTCTTTGCAAAAAAAAAAAAAAGAGAACCAGATGACATAATGCCCATACCTGATCTGGATAGATAAAGTTTGCCCCTCACTAATTTAAACCTTGCAGAAAGGCTGCGGAGGATTCTACATATTGTTACACAAAACAATTACAGACAGTTTGAGCAAAGAGTAAAATGTTTTTTCTTAACAGAGCTGAACATGTCAAACATATTATGGCTGAAGTCTAGATCTACTGTAGTCAGTAGGAAAGCTGCTAATGTTATGACTTTAATAAAGCTGGTTAGGTTTGGGTCCTGTTTTTATTTTTCAGTTGTTCTTCTGCAATCTCGATGATGCGTCTCAGGGTTTTCAGGAGCAGAGCATCAATGTCATTTTTCAAAGTAGTCTCTGAATGGTAGTTCTTAATAGGGAAGATGCAGTTCTCTGGGAATCCCACCAGTTTGCTGAACTTCTGAATCTGCAGGTTGTCAAAAATAATTACAGATAAAGTGAGAATTCTTTTTGCTTATCATACTGTACTTGAAGGAAGTCTGTTCAACATGACTTTTTCTGTGTCAGCAAGCCCTTTTAGTCAACCCAGGTTGGCCTAAATATTTGTCATTTTCATACAGTTTATTCGAAACCTTTACCTGCTCATGCAGTATCCTGCTGCAGAACATTTTTGCTAGATCTTTCTTAATTTCTGGACAGGCTTTGTCAGTTTTGGCAAAAATTACCATATGAGGAATCCCTGCAGAGAGGAAACAGACGTCATTTTCGCTGTTACTCAAAGTAAAGCTTTGTCAATGTAGACATTATGCAGATGTTACAGCATGTTGTCTTTTAAGGTCATTCTACTAAAATAAACAACCTAAGGGATTTTTATTGTATGTAGGGTTGTCATGCTACTAAACGTTTCAACTTGATACCGATACTAAGGAAAATATTTGATACTCAATACCATTTTCGATACCACAAGGATAAAATCAAAGACTCCAAAATTCTACAGAAATATTTTAATTAATAAATAAAATACAATAAATAAATACAATAAACAATAAGAACAATATTTTGAGGTTGTATGCTGTGCACAATATTAAGCAAGCTTTATAAAAAAAAACTTATAAAATTAAGTTTTCATTACTTGGCTATGCTTTGCACACATAATAATGACACTAGCCAAACCGTTTAAGAAACAAAAATAATTCTCAGCAGCTGCACCTGTTACAAAAAAAAAGTCTGAAACTGAAAAGTGCGTAGAATTATTCAATCACACAGTGTTCTGAAAGTGCTTTGTCCTCTATTCTGCACTTTAGATGAATGACTGCTTAGGTGCCACTGGTGGTGGCACTGTATAGATACTTTTAAAAACGAGTATATATATATCTGGATACAACGTTTTAGTATCAATACTTTTTTGAGTATTGATACTTTTGACAACCCTAATTGCAGAGATGGCAAAAGTACTCACTTTCCGTACTTGAGTAAAAGTACAGATACTTGTGTTAAAAAATACTCTGGTAAAAGTGGAAGTACTGATTAAACTTCTTTACTCAAGTAAAAGTAACAAAGTACAGGCTTGTAAATTTACTTAAAGTATAAAAGTAAAAGTAGAAACCACTTTTTTCATGCCGTTGCCTACATTTTAAATGGATGTCTGCCAATAGGACTAGATCTCCGTTGTGTTCATTTTCAATCATCTCGTCGTCCATGCTACTATGCTAACGCCACCGCCACCAAGCTGCAATGATTTGCCGCGAATGAATACCGCCGAATCTGTCGATTCATCTTGTAGTGGTGCGTCAAATGCAACGTAGATTCCCATCCAATTAGATTGAATTTGGTATTTGTGAGAAAACGGCTCGCCAGCTCCCATCTCACGTCAGAGGAGGAGTAAGCAGATGACTTGCAAAAAGGTGGTAAGAACCAGCGGACAACAAAATTCCAGTTCAAAAGCGTGTAGCGGTTTATTTACTGGTGCAACGGTGAAGACAAAAAAAAAACAAACAAACAAACTACTTTCAAATAAAGAAAACAAAACCGGCCATTGCAGGCAATGGCAATCACTGACAGCCTCACAGCAAGCTGACTTTAAATATAGTCTCTCTAAGCAGACCTTCAAAAGCAGTTTCTCCAACCAGTCTCTCCAAGCAGCCCTCCTAAGCCATTGGGAGTGTGCCCGTTAAATAGACCCACCAATAATCAGCCAATTGGGACAGCCCAACTAAACAGGAAGGCAAATCCCCAATAAAGCACAGTTAACATTGTAGAAAAATAAATACAGACAATAGCATCTTTCATACAAAAACATACATATTTATGAAATAATTTAACTATACTAACATTACCATTTCACCTACTTATTACCATGCAAACAATTATTACATACATTGAAATCCCACTTAACACCCCTGCCCCCTAATAGTCTTTTCCAATGCCCTGGGACAATGGATAAGAGACTGGCTCCGATGCGGTACGTGTTTCCACACGGACCAGTATGCTGACGGACTAAGGGAAGAGAATGTGTAATTTGACTGGGAATGTATATTAAAGCTGTCGCAGTGGGTACCTTCAGAGTTTGCTACGCTGGTGAGTAAGTAAAGTGTTGAATGAAAGGTGACGTTGTAATTTTTGGAACTAGTGTAAATTTCCGAGTGAATTGTTTGGAACTGCCGCCGCCATGACGGCCGGTCTGTGGTGCATGCTGGGAAATGTAGTGAAGGATGTGACGCTGTGTGTGATAGACAGCGGCTACACTTTGGGAACAGAGGGGGAAAACGGCTCTGTTTTCACAGTATTGATGACGTGAAAAATAATAACGGTAACTCCATTGAAATGATTCAAAACTAAAGTAACGAGCCAATTTTTAAAAATGTAAGGAGTAGAAAGTACAGATATTTGTGTAAAAATGTAAGGAGTAGAAGTAAAAAGTCGCCATAAAAATAAGTAGTAAAGTAAAGTGAAAATATCAGAAAAATCTACTTGAGTACAGTAACGAAGTATTTGTACTTCGTTATTCCCATCTCTGCCTAATTGTATGTTGGAATGATGTGTTTTCTCACCAAGGTCAGCGGCTTCATCTCTGATTTCCTGAATTATCTCCACAGTATTGTCTGGTATTATACTTGCTGTTTGGGCATCAATGACAGTAACCACTATGTGGACTTTGTCGTTTACATTTGGCTTCTTATTGTAGAACCGATCATCTTTGGATAAACTGCTCTGAGGGTTAAACTGAAAACAGGGAAGTAGACAAACTGTCAAAACAATAAAAATACCCAAAGCTGTATTGTCTCTATTTCCCCTGAATCTTTGACAGTTGCATAAGAACCCTTACAATGTAGCCATCCTTGATGCATCCCTTCATGGCCTTTTTTACGTCTTTCACATGGACTCTTCTTACTCTCCTATCAGCACTCTCCAGACCCGACATGTCATTCAGCACGAACGGATACATCTGTCCCTGGTCTCCTTTTTCAATGCTGTAGGTTGTGTACTGTTAACCAAAAAAGACAAACATTCAAAATAAAAGAATTATGATGTTTTGTATCAAGGTAAAAGTGGAAGAACATGTTGTCAATTTACAAATATCCTTTAGGCTAAATGCAGATCAATCATCACATCATAAACATAAAATCAGAATTACAAGAAATACCCTCTGTTTACCTTCTTAGTATGGCTTGTCTGACTGCTAGCGGCATCAGCCCTAACACTAATTTTTCCCGTCAATACGCTGGTGACAGAGTTGATGAAACTGGATTTTCCAGCTCCTATTGGTCCGTGGAGAAGGATCCTGAACTGCTGTTGACCATCAGCTGTTGGTCTGTAGTTGTCTATAAATTGCAGATCAGTTTCTCTGTTTCTGCTCAGGAAAACAAACATCACATTGTCTCGTTAGAAATAATCTTTACCTTTTTAACCCTAAAATACTTGGTATTTAAATATAATAAAACAGTATACTTCTCCATTAATCATAGTTTTTTTCAACTTTAGCCACGGCATGAGTCCCAAGCTTTCAGAGTGTACTATTTCTCTGCTTAACTTAAAAAAAATGTTACATTTTAAGTCATGTTTGACATTTGTTTACAACAAGAAGTGTTATTTAAAGAGTGATTGCTCCAGGAAATAGATCTGTGAAAAAACCCTGAGGCATTAACACCTTCAGGCAGCAACAGCCTCCGTCACAGCCCCATAGATGTAATTAAGTCTTAATGCATTGACTCAACAGTAGTCCCTAATTGAAAGGCTTGATTACTTTGTGAGAACATGGAGAAGGTTAGAGGGTAAGAGGAGAGGAAACAGAGAGACATGACATAAAACTATTCCATTATGAGACAGTTGTTATCGTACATTTAGTGCTGCATAGCAACATGTTCTCATTATCAGTTCGTATGAAATTGTACGAAAAGTTATGCACACTATTTTGGACGTTTTTCCTCAAAAAACCCGATCAGTGCGCATGCGCTGGCAGACAGAAAAAAAAACAGATCCGCGGACGAACGTAAAACTGGGGAAAACAGTGCAATAATCACTTCTTAATGTCTCTAACTACGTTGCTTGCTGTTTTATATCTTAGGGGTAGGGTCAGGGTTAGGGCTAATTGTTTTTTAAATTCTATGTTCTTGAATGGTGCGTCAGATGCGCATGCACATACGACGAAAAAAACGTCCAAAACGTACGAAATTACGGTGCATAACTTTTCGTACGATTTCATACGAACTCATAATGAGGATACACTGTGCATAGACACTCACCCCCAGTCCATGTCTCGCCATGGTTCATCAAGAACTGTTAAATTAAGAATTATTAGAATATATATCACCTACAGCAATGAATAGATATCAGTTTCAAATCCAACTTACATGTAGGAGGAGGAGGAGGAGGAGGAGGAGAGGAAGAAAAGAAATTTCCCATAACTGAAATACAAAAAGATCTTAGGTCAGTCTAATCTAATTTTAGCATTGTATATTAAAAATAATTGAGAAACCAACAATAAAAATAATTTATTTGCTTTAAACTTATCACTTCAAAATTGGACGGACTGAATCACCAAACATATCTCAAAAGTTGCCTTTTAAAATGAAACCTCCACAGTCACTCTGATAATAGATGAGAATGTATAAAAATTTAGTCAAGCACACCGAGACATAAAACTGAAAGTAAAAAAGCGACTTACTTTCACGACTCAGAGTCCACTCCCTGATACCATTGAAAAGCAGAAATCAAGTGCATGGCTCATTATAACCTCTTGAATCACATTACTTTCACTTTCCATAGTCACGTGATTTAGGAGAAATCCTGTCCTCTCATGTTTGGGTTTTGGTTACTAGCCCAAATGCAGAACAAACACAGAGACTGGGGAAAAGTTCAAAGGTTTAATTAATAAATGAACATAATAACAGGACAGGGGGGTAATCAGGTCCAGGGCTGGTCACGACTGGGTTTACAGTTCTGGAGATAGAGCAGAGCGGTAGAGGGGGGAAAAGGAGGGTTCAGAGGCTGTCGGCAGGCTGGGGGCTTGGTGGAGGCTGAGCTTGGTTAAGGGCTTGCAGATTACCAGGTTTGAGTTCAGGAGCGGATCTAGAAAAATATTTATGGGGTGGCAAGAGGGGGGCAGGAATATTTTAGGGGTGGCAACATATGGCATTTGTTTACACTGAATTTAATCACAGTTATCACAGTTTTGGTGAGAATAGTATGTACAGTATTAGTGTTTCATGTGAAACAGTTCATATTAATAATACATCGTACAATGTGATCTCACTTAATAGGAGATAGAAGAATGATAACACTACTTCTAGAGGGGCCTTATGACAGGAAAGGTATTAAGGTAAGACACAGGGGCTGAGTCGCAGATATGTGAGATTGACTGTCAGAGAGGCAGCTTTGTAGCATTTGCACAAGAAAAAACTATAGAAAGAAAACCTAACCCATCAGAGATCAATGGACTGAGCTGGACTACAGTGAGCAGAACTACACAGTAGAAATAAATGGGTCAAGGCACCCGAACAAGGTACTGGACATCCATGTAATGTTTACTCTGAACACACATTCACCCCATTTGCTCCTCAGAAACTTGACATACAGCAGTTAAGGCAACATGAAAGGGACATTTCATGCATGTAAATATGCTGTAGATAGAGCTGTATATGGAGGACTCTGCCATATTTAAAAATAAATACAGAAATAAATAAATGCTCAATAAATAAATAAGCATACAATTAATTGCCACCAAAAATACAATCAACAAATAAATGTAATTAGAAATTATATTATAATGGCAGGCAGAAACGTTAAAAGGGCAGGCAGAAAGAAATAGCGGCGAAGAAATAACTAGGGTAAAAAAAATACAAAGGAAGAATAAAACAGACAAAAATATGATAACATGCACATAAATAAATACTTAAAAATATAAGTAATTAAAAAATGAAGTTGAAGATAATTAATGACAAAAAATAAATAAGGTAAATATTAAAAAGGCACAGAAATAAAGAAGCCAATTAAAAGAGTTATATACCTTTATGACTAGCTGTATAATTTAATTTCTACTGACATTTATTTGTTGTTTGTATTTTGGTGGCAATTAATTGTATGCTTATTTATTTATTAAGCATTTATTTATTTCTGTATTTATTTTTAAATATGGCAGAGTTGGTCCTCCATACTGCTGTATCAACAAATCAACAAAAAGGTGGGTTCTGTATGTTACATCAAAATCTCCACAAATCTGAAAAGAAGCAACATAAAAATACATTTTGCTTGTGAGTAGGTTCATACAGGTCATTTCTGGATAGTTTCATATTATATATACAAAAAAGAAACAACAACACTGCTTCATATTAAGCAGGATTCACACCAGTATCACATTTTTAACTTTTAACACTTTTGGTTTTATTAAAGGAAATATCAGATTTTCTCAGGTGCCAAAACAAAATGTAGCAGCTCTGTAAAGGCTCAGCAGAGAGCAGAACATAAAGTTAACATGACTATAACAGCTGAATGCAGTGATTTCCATGTTGCTCAGCAAAACGCTTCACAACTTTATTTAGATCCAATGCCTTTGTGCGTTTTGATTTGAGTTCAACCAAACTTGATCGTCTCTTTTCTGTCATAGTTGACCGCAAATATGTCTTTATGAGCCTGAAACGTCAGGCCTAACTAACATCATGGATAGAGAAATAACGTTCTGCAACCTGATTTTTATCATCTCAAAATCAGCATTGCAGCTATGCTAGCAACATTGTGCTTTCATTATGATTTCATTTCTCGATAGATAGTTAATCAGTTTTTACCTGTTTCATCCCGTGTCTCCTCTCCCCATGACCACTGGCTCCCTCGCTTTGCCCCATTCGGTTTTCAAAACAATCAGTCTCAGTCGCTCTCGCGTCATCTCGTGCTGCATTCACTGCAGTCCGACATTGGAAATTATCGGTCGTAATTCTCAAATTATCCATAATTTATAAGCCTCGCCACCCCTACCGCCAACTGGGGTGGCAGCAGGGGTGGCAAGGCTGTCATTTAGGGTGGCATTTGCCACCCTATGCCACCCCAGTAGATCCGCCTATGTTTGAGTTTTCCTTCTAGATTCTTCAGGGAGCAGGTTGACAGATCTTTGGCAGGTTTGGTTCTCCAGGGTTCTTCTGAGATCAGACAGACAGATTTCCAACAGAGGAACTCTTCAGGGTTTCTGGTTACAGACAGGTTCAACCTGGGAAGCAGAGAAGAGAGATCAGGATCAGGTTCAGGTCAAGAGGTCAGGAGACAAGACAGGCAGTTTGGCTCAGGGTTTGCTGTACCATAACTGACTAAACACTCTGGCACTGTAGTGTGGTCCTCAGCCCACTTAAATACTGGTCTCCTGATGAGCAGATAAGGAACAGCTGGTGAAGTCAGCTTCAGCCTCAGGAGATCCAATACGCCCTCTGGTGGAGAAAAGATAGACTGAACCCCAGATCCCAAAAGTAAAACAACCCCCTAGGAAGGGATCCTCAGCGCCCTCTGGTGGGCAAACCTCAGGATCCCAACAGAGCCCCCCCCTCAAGGGCGGATTCCAGACGCCCTCAGAACAGTCCATGACAAAAACAAAAAAACAACCCACCCAGGGTGGGCGGAGGGGGCACCAGGCAAGGAGGGCAAGAAAAAACAGAGTCCATAACAAAAAACAACCCACCCAGGGTGGGCGGAGGGGGAAACAGGCAAGGAGGGCAAGAAAGTCTCTAGAGGTAGAGTCTCTGGAGGCCGGCCATGGGGCCGGAGGCCAAACAGAGTCTCAGGAGACCGGCCGTGGGGCCGGAGGTGAGGCACAGTCTCAGGAGGCCGGCCGTGGGGCCGGCGGCGAGGCAGAGTCTCAGGTGGCTGGCCGAGGGGCCGAAGGCATGGCCGACGTTCCGGGGGCCGGCTGCAGGGCCGGAGACGTGGCAGACGCTCAGTAGGCCGGCCGTTGGACAGGAGGCAAAGCAGACATTCAGGAGTCCGGCCGTGGGTCAGGGGACGTAGGAGGGTTATAGGAGAATGACATCTCCGTCGCTGCTGAATCTTCGTAGGAGGAAGACACCTCCGCCGCTGCAGAAGTTTAGGAGGAGGACGACGCCCCAATTTCAGCAGGTAGCCCCAAGGGAAACGCCGTCCCCTCTTCAGCGACTCAGCAACAGTCTCAGAGGGGGCCGCGGACTGCGGCTCTGGAACAGGGACCGCCGACTGCGGCTCAGGAACAGGCCCAGAAGTGACCGCCAACTGCGATTCAGGAACAGGCCCAGAGGTGACCGCCGACTGCGGTTCAGGAACAGGCCCAGAGGTGACCGCCGACTGCGGTTCAGGAACAGGCTCTGAGGGGGCTGCCGACTGCGTTTCAGGAACAGGCTCAGAGGTAACCATCGACTGCGGTTCAGGAACAGGCTCTGAGGGGGCCGTCCACTGCGGTTCAGGAACAGGTTCAGAAGGGGCCGCTGACTGCGGCTCAGGAACAGGCTCAGACAGGGCAGCCAACTGCGGCTCCGGATCAGGAACAGAGGAGACCACCGACTGCGGCTCCGGATCAGGAACAGAAGAGACCGCCGACTGCGGCTCTGAATCAGGAACAGAAGAGACCACCGACTGCGGCTCCGAATCAGGAACAGAAGAGACCACAGACTGCGGCTCCGAATCAGGAACAGAAGAGACCACCAACTGCGGCTCCGAATCAGGAACAGAAGAGACCACCGACTGTGGCTCCGGATCAGGAACAGAGGGAACCGCAGACTGTGGTTCCAGATCAGGAACAGAGGAGCCCGCCGATTGCGGCTCCGGATCAGGAACAGGGGAGCCCGCCGACTGCAGCCCCGGATCAGGAACAGAGGAGCCCGCCGATTGCGGCTCCGGATCAGGAACAGAGGAGCCCGCCGATTGCGGCTCCGGATCCAGCATGGAAGAAACCGCCCACGGCGGCACAGGTTCAGTCTCCGAGGTGGCTTGAAGCGCCCGCAGAGGGCTCTTGGCGGTTTGGAGCGCCTGCTGAGAGGCTCTTGGAGGCGTATTTCCACCAACTCCGAACTCTGAAGCCCTTTTAAATATATACTCAGGGGTCTCTGGATGGCACAGAGCAGGCTCAGGGGTCTCTGGACGGCACAGAGCAGGCTCAGGGGTCTCTGGACGGCACAGAGCAGGCTCAGGGGTCTCTAGACGGCTCAGAGCTGACTCAGGGGTCTCTAGACGGCTCAGAGCGGGCTCACGGCGACGCCATCTCTTACGCCGGAGGATCTTAGGAGCTGGGTTTACAGGTTCATTAAC